CGTTCACATTGGGACCAACCAGCACATTTTGTAGGTGAGCCTGTTGTAGCTCAAGGAGATAGACTGTCTTAGCCAGCTTGTCATGGCTAAGGGCGAGCAGGGACAGGGACCCCACAAGCCTGAATGCCCCAGCGATACCTGCTTACCCATCACGTCAGTTTGCCCTTGACATCACCCACCCTCACCCTTGCCTGGCTCCACTGAGACAGCTGAGACCCAGTGTCACTAACAGAAGAAGAGAAGTGGGCAGATCTTGCTCTAGAGAGGCTTCTGGTAGGGAACGTTCCAGAAGAAATTGGAACACACACTCCTTCTCCCGTCTCTTTCCCTCTTCTGGCCTGGCAGTTTAGTGAAACCTTCAGCCCCATAAGAATGAGGTAAAAGTCATCCCCTGAGGTTTGCGCTGCTTGCAGTCTCGCAGAAACTGACCCCTAACCAACAGACTGGGATGTTTATTTCTGGAACTCGCTGCCACTTCTCCAATCTTGTTGTTCTCAGGCTGCCCTAGAGGGAACACATTGTCCAAATCGGATTTGGCATCGAGTTGTCCCTGAGGCCAACAGGACCTCAGCTTGCCATCCCTTTGAGCCTTGCATTCTTCTTAACTTGCTTTCTAAAAATTCACAGCCTTCTCCTTACGTCCTCCCCTCCCTTCTGGGCTCCCCGCTCGCCCTGCGTTTTCTCCACTGCTGGGGTCTGTGTCTGCTCTTGGCGGGCAGACTCGGAGGCTGGACACTCTGGCCCTGCTCCCCTTTCCAGCGACAGCTCCTACTTTTGTGTGCTTGCCTGAAGGAAGACAGCCAGGAAGTGGGGGTTCAGGCCCTCAGGAGTGGAGCAGCCAGCAGCCTGGACCAGTCCGCGTGGATGCAGGTCACAGTTTCTCCCTGACCCCGAGTCACTCTTCTGCTTTCTTCGGGTGGGATCTCCCACTAGGAGAGAAGTGGCCACATGCCTCTCCTGCAGCCCTTTGCTTGTGCCCAGCACCCTTCAGTTTGCAAGGCTGTCACAGCACTGTCCAGATTTCATTTACTGACAACCTTGTGGTCGCCAGGAATGAGTATCGTGGGTTTCCACGTGCTAGGCCCTGAGCACTGCACTTCACATCCGCGAACTCACCTGGAACCTCCCTGGATGAGGACACTTTTTACACAGTTTCGTGAATGAGAAAATTGTGGTTCAGAGAGCTTCAGCCCTTTGTCCAAGATTGCCCAGTTTTTATATGATAGCATGAGATTGTAAAGAAGTCTTTCTGATCCCCAGTCTTTGACCCTAACTGTGTGCTATACTATTCCAGATAGTACCAAGTCCATTTTATAGATGAGTGAACCGGAGGGCATCGAGGAAATTCGAGATCACACAGTGAGTGAACAAGAAAACTTGAGATCACACGAGTGAACTTGAATTCAGAACCTTTTCCTGCCTGCTCTGAGTCTCACCCACCACTCCTTTAGGGTCTAGGAAGGTAGGGCTGGTCAGTGGTGCTAGAAACATCACCTGAGCTGCTTCTGTGTCTTGGGTGAGGCCCCCGGAGCCCTATAGGAGCCCAGCCTGGGGGTGTCTGTTTCAGTGGGTCAGTGGCACTGTGAGCGCTTGATCCCTGGAATTCTCTTTGGCCCCAGTTTTCACAGTGAAATCTTGATCTATAATGGAAGCCATGTGGCCACTGGATTAGCTGAGAGCTTAGCTGGTGGGAGCAAAGGTCAGGACAGGCTGGGGAATGAGGGGCAGGGAGCCTGCAGCCCAGTAAGAGGGTTGGAGCCACTGGCTTGGGGTCACATCAAGTGAGTCGGCAGATCATGAAGCTGAAGGTCCCAAGCTCAGCTTCCATCAAAGTGGAGTGAGGGAGGTCGGGGGGGTGGGGTGGGGGGGAGGGGTCTCCCTCTGCGGCCTCCTCCTGCGGGTTCTCTGTGCTGGGAAATATGTGTCTGAAGTTGCCCAGGTAAGTTGAGGAAGCAGAAGTGAGGCTGATGACACCTTGAGCACCTGGCCCTTCCCACCCCAAGCAGAACTGTGAATCCATGATGAAGTTCAGCCACACGACCTGCGTCAACAGCCTCCTGTCTTTGGGCCTCTTACCCCACCTAACATAGGACACGGATACCTAACATGCACAGGCGTAGAGGTGAATGACAGAGCACATCAGAGTGTTCTGCTTCCCTGGCGCTCAGATGGTAAAGCGGGAGACCTGGGTTCGATCCCTGGATCAGGAAGATCCCCTGGAGAAGGAAAGGGCATTCCACTCCAGTACTCTTGCCTGGAAAATCCCATGGACAGAGGAGCCTGGTAGGTTACAGTCCACCGGGGTGGCAAAGAGTCAGACATGACTGAGCGATTTCACTTTCACTTTTCACTTTCATTGAAGTGTTTGGGTCTAGATTGAGAAGGGTTTGGGGATCCAAGACAAGTTTTGCAGAATAAGCATCTTGGGGCCGAGGTAATACAATGGATTACTTGTTTAGTTGTGTCTGACTCTTTGCGGCCCCATGGACTGTAGCCCACCAGGCTCCTCTGTCTGTGGGATTCTCCAGGCAAGAATACTGGAGTGGACAGCCATTCTCTCCAGGGGATCTTCCCAACCCAGGGATCGAACCTGGGTCTCCTACATTGCAGGCAGATTCCTTACTGTCTGAGTCACCACAGGCAACCACCTGAGGAAGCCCTCAGGGGTAAAAGGTCATTCGTTCATTCGTTCATTCGTTCATTCATTCATTTATTCATTTAGCATTCATATGCACTTGCTGAATGGTGTTGACAATAGCAGTAGCTGTAAGCAGTTACATGTGCCCCACGCAACACTAAATACTCTATCGGCATCTCACTTAGCCTCACAATGATCCATTAAGGTGCTGCTGAATACTGCCTTCATATAACCCATGAGGAAGCCAAGGCTCTGAAAGCTAGTGACCTACTCAAGGTCATGCAGCCTCTAAGTAGGAGAACCTGGACTAAAACTGTGTCACTCTGAGGTCACCTCTTGGCCTCCGTGCACAATATAGGAGTCCCCGAGGTGCTTTGTGAGCTGATCCAGCACTGCATGGGTGACATGGGAGGGTTGTTGGGATTTGATGGGGGAGGAGAGCCAATATGATGTGATACGGTAGTTGCCTGTGGACAGGGTGGTTAGGCCTCCTCTTTCCCAGGTCAGTTTTGGTCCTGGGTCTGAGAACAGGGCCACACACCCATAACTGGAGTGGGCAGAATGGGGATGAAGGGCTCTGGGAGTAGGGAAGGTCTGCAGGGAAGGTTACAGAGAACGAAACAGCCAAAGATGAGAAGGGATGAATCAGGCAACCATGGAGCAAAATTAAAGTCTTCACTGGAGAGGCTGCCTTGAGGTGTGCCCACTGAATCCTGGATTTGAAAACGGCATTTCCCCTTCCCTTCCCGGGGTTCCCTTTTTCTTTGTGCACCCTCACCATCTTTCTCACTTTTCCTTTCCTTCCCTTTGGGCTGTAGAATCACTGTGCTGTCCAGTAGCCACGGGCTATGCAGTGAAGAGCTGGGTTCAAATTCCTGCTTCACCACATTTTGGCCTTTTATTCCCAGCTGGACCTACAATCAAAGCCTGTGTGACTTTAGGCAAGTTACTTAACCTCTCTGAACCTTTTCCTCATTTCGCTTATGGAATGGAACCTATAATCCCTTATCACAGAGGACTGTCTTGAAGATTAAACAAAATAACATTAAAAATAGTAAGGGCAGGGTCTTCTGTTTTTTTGTATCAAGTGATAGGGTTCTTCTTGCCTCCTTTTTCTCTTCACTCATCTTTCTTATCATCTCTTCCCTCCACACTCCACAAAAAACTGACAATACCACATCACACGTGACTTCTAGACCTAGCACAGTCTCTATTGTATGCTCTGTGGAGGAAAAAAGGGTGTGTTCTTACTTTTCTAGGTCTCCAGTGGTGCTACACACACACACATTTTATGTACACTTGACAGATTGCACCCACCCACACACATAAATACATATACTTATAGCTTTGTTCGGTTTGTATATTTACTTCTGAGTTCTGACATCCAGAGAAGCCTTCCTGGGGATCCCAGAGTAACTCATTGCCAGAGTCAAAACAAGGCTGCCAGCCATGCCTGCAGCCCTGGCCACCTCCGAGCCCAGTCCCCACCCACTCCCCACGGAGGTGATGAATTCTAGCTTAGAGAGCTGAAGGACCTGAAAAAAAGATCATCATTTTTAGTCAACAGGGAGGCTGAATCATTTTAGTAAATGATGTTCTTGGATTCGTAAACACTTTACTTATTTCAATTTAATGTATGGTATGCAGACTCAACCAAATATTTACCAGTTGGATGTGTTAGAGAAAAATAAACGGCAGTGTTCCTTCAACTCCTGATGAAAGGAGCCCTAGAAGAGCCCCCCTGTTCATTCATTCATTCAAGCAAATATGTATGAAGCGCCTACTTTGTCCCAGGGAATCAACATGAAAAGGCCAGTGTTTCTGAAAATAAAAGTATAGATGATACAGAAATTGTTTGACTTGTGTATTCCCAGCAGGATGGAAGAAAGACTACTCTCCCTTGAGCCCTCAGTGTTTCTTTCTAGAGACGAGGAAGCAAGGCTGAGAGGGTGTGCTCAAATGTCCTGGGGTCACTCAGCTGGTGAGAGGCAGAGTCGGGCCTCAGACACTCGAGATGGGAAGCCCCCAGCCTAGTATTTAGCAGCGTGCATCTCTCCGACATGACCATCACGCAGCTCATTTGTTCCTCGTGGTGACCTCCCGAAGAAGGAAGGGCAGGGGTTCTTTGACCGTTATACATGTGACAAGCAAGGCTCAGAGAGGTGAAGCAGTTTCTCCAAGGCCACACAGCTTATTGGTGAGAAAGCCAGGTTTGGAAACGGTGTCACTCTGCTGGCTCCGGAGGCTCCGAGAGCCAAACCCAGGGATCGTGGGCTGCGCGCGGCGGACGGCGACCCCGCGCTGGCACTCCAACCCCAAGAACAGCGGCCCACTGGCGTATCCTTCTTCCCTCCCGCTGCAGGGTGGCCTCATCGCCCTGCTGCTGCTGCTGCTGGTATTCACGGTGGCGCTGTACGCCCAGCGGCGCTGGCAGAAGCGGCGCCGCGTCCCCCAGAAGAGCGCCAGTACGGAAGCCACCCACGAGATTCACTACATCCCGTCGGTGCTGCTGGGCCCGCCGGCGCGGGAGGGCTTCCGCTCCGCCCGGCTGCAGGCGCATAACTCGGTCATCGGCGTGCCCATCCGCGAGACGCCCATCCTGGATGACTACGACTACGAGGAGGAGGACGACCTGCCCCGCCGGGCCAACCACGTCTCCCGTGAGGACGAGTTCGGCAGCCAGGTGACCCACAGCCTGGACAGCCTGGGCCGACCAGGGGACGAGAAGGGTGACTTCGAGAAGAAAGGTGAGTCTTCCTTGTGGCATCCCACCTTCGGGGCAGGGGGTGGGGGTGGCATTTTGGGGAGCTGGGGAGAGGCGCAGGAGCCGGGTGGTCGGGGAACACAGGAAGTGTTTTCTGGGATAAGCCATTTTTGATTTATGGCCAACTTCTGTTGGGTTTTCAGAGTTCATCTCTTCTTGATTCTTTGGTGGTGGTGGGCAGGGGGGTGGGGGTGGGAAACTGTATTCTTGGAATTAGAGTTTGGAATTAGAGCGTCAGAAGTTACGTAGTCCAGCATCTTTTAGTGTTTCTTGATTGCCTCCCTGGATGGCCTTCTCATTACTCAGGAGAGAGCTCATCTCACTTCCAGACTCTACTGTTGGAAGGTTTTTCCTTAGTCTGAGTTGCAGTCTGTTTTCTGGCTCTCCATATCAGAAGCTGAATCTGAAATTCCCTTCTCCAAGAAAGCTCTTGGGAAATATGACAACAGGAAGAAAAAAGGCACCCAGTAACTTTTAGAGATCAATGTCAACAAATTCTCACAGTTGCCTCTGCCACTCTGATGTGACATATTTTCAGACATTTCACCATTCTGGTCACTGTCCTTTAGATGGAGATTCTGATTTTTCTTGTCTTGGAGTGTAACACCAGCAGTGACAGTCTCTTCCTCAAGATGGGAATGCGCCTGTGCTGAGCAAAATGCAATTTTCACCTCCTTTTTGCCAGCTGTTTTGCTTCTGTTTATGCAGGTTGAGCTCACATTTGTTTTTTTGCAGCTGTTGCTGACTTGTGGTTGACTTTTTGATGACTTAAACCTCTCAGTCTTTTTCATATATGCTATTGCCAAGACCCATTCTCATTGTTCTCTTGGAGGACAATTGATTATTTGGACCTGAGTACAGGATGTGTGTGTGTTTGTCTTTATTCAGTGTCTATGCCTCCAGTTTGTTTATAGATGAGATTTGGCTATTTTTCCTTTAGGTAGATGCTGCAGAATCACTGTTATGCCCCCCCCCCCCCCCCCCCNCCCCCCCCCCCCCCCCGTATTGTCTTTATGACCCTGGTGATGGTGATGTGTTCAAGGTTTGGCCCAGAGGCCCTAGTGTTAAAACTACTCCTGTTTGTGAGCCAAGAGGAATCATCATCATTGCTTGGACCAGTCCTGAGCTGTGAACTTAACATTGTTTCCTCCTGCACCCAGGGTCCTTCCTCTCAGGTCCATCTTTCCATGATGCTTAGTGGAAAAATAGGAACTTTAGGAATTTCTTTAAAAGGAGACATTTTTGTCAAGCTTAGAAACCTAGGGAGGGAAAAGAGTGGTACAGTAAATAAGAGGACAGTTTTGGAGCTGTTGGGACCTAGAAAAATGGGAATTCACTCCTCCAAGTCTCAGATTCCTCATTGAAGGATTTTTTGAAGGATTAAATATAAAAATCAATGTGTACCAAGTACCTAACACAAGGCCTAGGATATGGTCCATGTTGAATCCCTGAGAGCCATATCTGTAGACCCCAGGCCCTTAGTCTACACCAGGTTCCTAAGACTCTCGCTAATCCAGCTCCCTCCTGCCTGCCTGGCTCCTGCCAAGTGCCAGCAACCACTCTTTGCTCAGTGCCCTGGAATGTCTACATCATTTCCCTTCTCCGCCATGATCTCTTCTGTCTTTGAACTGTTGGTTTACTGACAGTCTCCTCAATTCTTCACTTTCTCGAACATTATTTATCGTTTTTTCATGTGACTTTTCGTCTTAGAACAAGAACAGTCTGCATTGGTTTCATTCTTCACACCGCTACCTAGCACAGTGCCTCTCATGTAAAGAATGTCCAGCGAGTGTCAGACAAGAACGATGGCCCTGGAGAGAGAGGCTGTTCAGGAGCTATGCTGTCAGGTCAGAGCATCCTGCTTCTCTTCTCTAAAATAGAAAGTCACTTGGACATGACAGAAAGCATCATCCCATTTTCCTAGATGTGGACTTTTGCAGCCTAATTTATTAAGCCCTACTGTGTTTATATGGAAAATGGGTGAATTAGCAACCAGTTTGCTCATCTCATGGGCTTCCCTGATAGTTCAGATGGTAAACAATCTGCCCGTAATGCAGGAGACCCAGGTTTGATCCCTGGGTCAGGAGGATCCCTGAAGAAGGGAATGGCTACCCACTCCAGTATTCTTGCCTGGAGAATTCCATGGAGAGAGGAGCCTGGTGGGCTACAACCCATGTGGTCGCAGAGTTGGACACGACTGAGTGACTGACTTCTTCTTCTGCCTGTCTCATAGTTTTGCTGTGGGGCTTAAATAATAAATGCACTGCAAACCCTGAAGAAGTTTCCCTAGAGTGGGGTTTGTTTTTCACACTGCAGTCTTCCCCAGCCTGGCCGAGAGGAGAGGTCTACAGCCTCCTTCAGTTCCTGGAGCGAGTTGTGATCACTTACTGCTGTTCAGTAATAATCAGTTTCTCTGCCTCCTACTCTAGATGTGGGGGCTTTTTCTTAAATTCTTTTTTTTATTGAGGTATAATTAACATGCGATCTTGCATTAGTTCCAGGTGTACAATGATTCAGTATTTATATTTATTGAGAAATGATCACCACAATGTCTAGTTAACATCCATGGCCTCACAGCATGACAGTATTTTTCTTGTGATGAGAACTTGACTCTTTTAGCAACTTTCAAACATACAATAGAGTATTATTAACTCTAGTCATCGTGGTGGACATCCCAGCCCCGTGACTTTTTATAAAACTTGGAGATTTTTGAAAGCAAGGGCAGTTTCACTAGTGTCCGGCACAGTGACTGATGCCTAATGATTGCTCTGAAAATGCCTGTTGGCTGAATGATTCAGTCAATCGAATAAATCCAAGCGCTGGCTAGAGCCCCAAATTCTCAGTTCCAGGCCTCGAGTTATCTCACTGTCCTCAAACCTGGGGACTCTAGAAACCAAAATGTTGACGGAGGCCATTCTGGTCAATGAGCAGACCCTAGCTGTGAGCAGCCGCTGGTTGGCCGTGAACCTAGAGCCTGTGATACAAAGTGAGTAAAGTCCAAAAGAGGAAAACAAATGTAGTATACTAAAGCATGCATATGGGATCTAGGAAGATGGTGTTGATGAACCTGTTTGCAGGGAAGGAATGGAGACACAGAGGGAGAGAATGGACTTTTGGACCCAGCGGAGGAAGGAGAGGGTGGGACAAATGGGAAAAATAGCACCAACAAATCAGTTCAGTCACTCAGTCATGTTTGACTCTTTGCGACCCCATGGACCGCAGTACGCCAGGCTTCCCTGTCCATCATCAACTCCCAGAGCTTGCTGAAACTCATGTCCATCGAGTCGGTGATACCATCCAACCATCTCATCCTCTGTCATCTCATCCTCATCCTCAGTTTAGAGATGTATCTTGTATAAAATAGATAGCTGGTGAGGAGTTGCTGAAAACACTGGGAGCCCAGTCTGGAACTCTGTGATGGACCAGAGGGGTGGGAGGGGGGAAGCGTCAGGGAGGCTCAGAAGGAAGGAGCATATGTATAATTATGGCTGATTCGTGTGTGGTAGTGGGGGAAACAAAACAGTGTAAAAATTTTTTTAAAAAGAAATTACAATAAGCCTCCTGGGAAATGGAAGCTGAAGCTTGAACAGTCCTGGTTCTCTCCAGGGCATGGCAGAGTCCAGGTGAGAGCCCGAACCTCTTGGCCAGAGAGCACCCCTGCTTTCGATAGCTGTCGTGCTCAGAATGGCCTACGTGACATCATGGTGATAGCCCATTTCACGGGGGGGTTGGGGCCTTCCAGGTCTTGTGTTCCTTAAAGAGGATCCACAGGCTTGCCCTTTCAGTTGCTGGACATTTCAGTCCTTCATGTGCGCAAAGCATGCGATCCTGATTCTTGAATGACAGAGACTGCACAGGGGACTGAATCCAGAGGATTCAGGAGACTCACTCCTGAGCGAGGGGAGGTGCTCTGATCTCCTCTCCTCGTTGGGTCCTCTAGAGTCTGCACGCTCCCAGCTTCACACGGCAACACGTCTTAAAGATAACCTTGTCCCTTGAGCTTTCTTTCAAGCAGAACTCTGTCTATAAAAACGATAACAAAACCAGACTCTTATTTTCTGAAATCAACTTCAGATGAGACGCATACAAGAGAAATCGAAAGAGCGAGTGGTGAATGCATGAGAAATAAGACCCAGTTCTTTCAAGGCAGCCTGGTGGGGTGGGAATGAGCAGGTGGTTTCGGGGCCCTGCTCTTGTCTGCATTGGCTGTGTGGTCCTGGCGAACCTCTTCGCCACCTGCAAACTCATGCCTTCGTCTCACCCATTTTCATCCGACCACATTATTCCTCTGACTTTGCTTTAAAACGAATTACAGTCTGGAATAAAACCAAGTACTTCATTTAATACTCTACCCAGCTGCCCTTAGATCCAATAAGGGTGAGGAAGGAAGACCCCTGGGCAAGAAGGGAGTAGGAGACGTATTTTTCCTGGGTCCCGGCAGGATACTGGTCACCCTGTCCCGTGGGAGGGTGGTGGCTAGGGGCTGTGGTTGCGGTGCTATGGCCTCTGAGCTCCGGGACATCCTGGTCTGGATGGAAGAGGGACAGTTCTGCTGGCAGATTGTGGAACATACAGAAGCAGCAGCTCAGGCTGAATATGCTTCCTGTTGCCTCGGGTGGTCCTTGGAGAGACTCACTAGGTTCTTTCTTTATGGGGAAACCTGGGAACAACTATGTATTATGTCCAGAGTAGACAGGTATCAGAAGCTGGGCAAGCCCTATAAAAGTCATCCCCAAAGGCTTTGCAATTATATTGTCAGGGGCTAGCCCCACCTACACCTCTCACACTTAAAATTTGTCCGTAGATTCAAACTCCTTCATCATACTTGAGCACCCCCTGTTATCTGCAGCTTGGACCTTCAGGTAATAGGGGGGTACCCTGGAGGCAGAGGGAGAAACTTTCTTTATCAAGAGACAAAGCCTGGATTCTGATACCCCAAGAGCATGATACTGGGTGGGCTGACTTTCAGCCAATACAGACCCA